TCTCTCTCTCTCTCTCTCTCTCTCTCTCTCTCTCTCTCTCTCCTCTCTCCCCCTCTAGCCAGCCTGTGACGATGGGGTTGTAGCTATCGTTAAAATCACGCGGAGCCAGCGTGGAGCCCATCTGGGCCCCTTTGTTGCTTTTCAGGCTAACTCTTTCGCCGGCTGCCTGTAGGGGCAAAGCAGTGTGCTCCAGCGCTCCATATGCATACGGGATGTCATTCTCCTCTGTGGCGCGATCAATGTGGTCTCGGAGCAACGCTCTGTCGGTCGATGCGAATGCGTTTATGCAATCAAAGTTGCCCATGATAAGCGATCTCCCTGCCTGCTCACATCCCCACTTCGTGGCCAGCAATACTAGCACTGCATTTCCCCGTGACCTATGCGCAATTCCTCCGTATGCAAAGCGAGGCCGAGTAATATGCAACTTTCTTTGGTGTAGCCCACTGTGCCATGCCATGCCAGCTGCGCAGTACGCGTGCATGATGCGCTTTCCCGCTATTCCTATCTTATTATTCGCTTTCTCTGCTGCGAAGCTGTGCGATCGTAGCATGTCTAGCGGCATAGTCTGACATTGTCTGAAGTGCTCCATAATCCTCAGCAACATCTTCGGTGCTTCGTACTCTACTTCTTTAAATAATGACATTCCCACTCCCGATAGTTCCGTTCTGCCAAACTGCCAGTGTGGGTCCTCGATAACTTCTTGTGCTGGCGCTCCCTCTGCTCGCTGACGTGCTCCTGCTGTTTCACCTGGGTTCCAACCTAACTTCTGCGGGATATTTCTTCCTTTAGCTAGGATGTAGTGCGTGCTGTACTTTTCAAGCTCCTCCTCGTCGTCCTCTTTCTCCGCTGCTCTAATCCTTTGTGCGTCTAGTCTCTTTGTTTTCTCGGTTGGTCCAGACAGGTTAATATTTTGCTCGAACAGCATCCACACCATTTCAACAGGGAGACCCCACTCTGGATATGCTCATCGTTGTTTTCGCTTTTCTGCAGTACGCTTTCATGGCCCACAAATCCTTCTGCACCCTGTTCTTTAGATCACCGTCCGGGGGGAGGAATGGGAAGTCACCGTCGTCCAGCTCGCAGTCATTTGCATAGTCCTGCCTAGTCTGTTCCCAATCGAGCGGGGTGCACGCAAGCCCTCCCTCATGCGGATCACGACCTAGCTCCTCTCTCCACTGCTCGCCTGACCAGTGACAACGGTGGCTGGAGTAAAATCTCTTCTTTGGCCCCCGCCCGTTCCGCTGATACTCTACCCAGATCTCTCGAACGATACCTTCTCGCTCTGCAGCTACGTGTGTTTCCCTGAGCTCCTTCAGTGCTGCTGTCACTATTTTTAATTCCTCCTCCACCTTTGCCCTGCTGGTCTCTGTGCCCTCCTCGTGTAGTCCTTCTCTATGCTGCCTCCTCTCCTCCAGTAGCTGCATCCTGCTCGTACGCATCATGCTGCATGTGCTGTCATTGCTGCGCGTTCTCTGCTTGAACGTGCCATGCAACGCCGCGCTCACACACTCCACGTACTTTTTCCAAGGAGATCAGGGGACTTCTTAGAATACAGCTGCTCCCAGATAGATATATATATATATATATAGGTACCTTTGTTTTATCTGTTCGTCTATCTTTGTGAACAGCTCTTCTCTTCTGTAGCCTTTCTGCAGGCACCTCATCAAGCACCCCCGATCTATCTTGTCATTGTCACCTGTCGGGTACCCGTGGTTGGTGACTGACATCTCCACGTGTATGCCTATCGGGATGTGGTCCCTGAACCTTCTATCTGGGATCATCTGGAGTCTTTTTGCTGCTCTGTATAGGCAGCTGCACTGGGAGACAAGCGGGATGGCCCCGATGGGGACAGCCACGTGATCAATATGTGACTCTTGCCCCTTGGGGCCATAAAAGGTGGGCCCATGTTCGTAGAAAGTAGTTACCACTGCCAGCCCGTTCTTGTAGCAGAACTCTCTGTATGCCCTACCATTCTCGTTCACGCAACATAGGCTCTTTCCTCCTAGGGTCGCGTTTCTTGTCCTCTGCATGGTACCGTCGTCATCTCTATGTATTCCCAGTCCACTATTCACGTCCCCTCCTATTATAATAGCAAATCTCACCCCAAGTGCGCCCAGCTGCTGATCGATCCACCTGAATACCCTTTCTGCGACCAGTGTGTGCTTCGCATCACTCATCGGGGCGAGGTAGATACAGAAGGCCACGAAGTCAACTTCATTCGTCTGAATACGAATGCCGCCCACCCGCCCTCGTATTTGCACTGAAGGCACAGATACAGTGTGCAGTGCTCGACTAGGTATCCGACTGTGTACCATAATCGTGACCCCGCATGCGTCCGACACCAACTTCCCCTTCCTCTTCCCAAAGTGTACTCCCTAGTGTCGCGCGTGTGCATGCTGCTGCGCTCCGTGGTCGGGCTGTGCAACTTGACATGTCCCAGAGACCAGCACCACGTCCCACGATCCCAACTCACTGGATATATCTTCGTGCCTCTCCTGCGATGCTGACAACGGGTTGTATGTGCACACTCTCATAATTCTCTCCGTCAGCACAACTGCCAGAATCCTCCCAACGCTTTTCATGCATGCAATATGCCTCCTGCGGGAGGGGGAGGTGAGGTACAGTATCCTCGCTCCTGAAAGGGAAGGTTTCCTACCTTGGAGCGGGCTGCCCGCGCGCTGTGCACGTCTGAACCGGCAGCTAGGATGATGATGATGATGATGAGGAGGAGGAGGAGCGGAGCAGGAGGAGGAGCAGGAAGAGGAGGAAGAGGAGGAGGCAAAAGACAGACCGGAGAGTCCACATCGCTGGAGATCTTTGTTCGCTCCACGGCGCGCCTCTGCAGCCTCAGCACAGCCGTCAACACCTCCTCCGCGGGCGGGCGCCCGCCTTCCGCGTCCGCCGCCGCCGCCGCGTGCAGCGCCTCGACGGCCGATAGGCCCGCCTCCGCTGGAGAAGCCCAAAAGGTACCGATGCCCTCCTCCGCCTTCCTCCACCTGCTCCGACTTCTCGTCCTCCGTCCTCCTCCTCCTCCTCCTCCCTGCTCCTCCTTCATCTCCTCCCTTCTCCTCCTCCTCCTCCTCCTCCTCCTCCTCTCTCTTTCTCCTCTCTCCTCCTCCTGCTCCTCCTCCTCCTCCTGCTCCTCCTCCTCCTCCTCCTCCTCCTCCTCCTCCTCTTCCTCCACCTCCTCCTCATCCTCTTTCTGCTCCTCTTCCTCTTCCTCCTCCTCCTCCACCCGCATGCCACCCCGCCACACGTCGTCGCCTGCGCTACGGTCGAAAACTGTTGCTTAGCGTGTCGCCGCGGCGGCCCTGGCGACATGCCATGTCCTGCAAACGGTTTGCGTGTTGCTGCGCTGCGCGGAGCGGGAGACTGGGATAGGCTCGGGACGTTGTCGCCTGGGGACTGGGAAGTGGTTAGCGTGTCGAGCCGAAGCGCGGTGGGCCAGAACCGGCGGGGCGACACGCTGAGCAAAAGATAGTGACACTCCCCAGACTTTTCCCAGGGCGCGTTCTGACCAGGATTTGAGGGTATGTTTACGTAGAGTGTGGCAAGTTTACTTGTATGCCCCCCCCCCCTTCCTGCGCCGTCTGATCAATTAACGCTGGGCCGAAAAGTCGTGCAAGTGGGGCCCGACTTGCGTGAAGTCCAGATCTCCTCTCGCGCCTCGCCGCGACCCCGCATGCAAGTAATTGCAGGGGTCTTACACCAAGCTGCATCGTCGGAGGCGAAATCAGCGGTGGCGGCGAGTTCTGTGGCAACTCATCGGAGCCTCCCATGCCATCTTGCTGGCTCTTGCGAGTCGACGCTGACCGACGCTAACCGACGCTAGCTAACTCTCAATCGACGCTAGTCGACGCTAAACCGACACTTCCTCATTTACTACCACACGCTAGCGCATACGAATCCACTCGAAAGACGGAATTGCGAGTGCAGGCAATTTTCCCGTGATTCGCTACCGAAGGAACGGGCCTCCAAGGAGGACCAAGAAAGCGAAAACAAGTCAAGGCGGTATCGGCTTATGCTGGAGCGATGGGGGCAACCCCCATGAGGTGGCGAGGGGAGGTGCAACAGTTCGTGTGCACTAACTACTGCATCTCAGACATTGCTTGGGGCGCGAGCCTGTGCACTGGCCGGACACGACTACATTGGAAATGACGCACGGTTGCAATCCACGCGCAAAGATTGCGCGCATACCGCAAACTATTGCACCCTTGCATCAACTCACTACAGCGTACCATTGCACCTCCCCCGGCCCCCCACCAGCGGGAAAACCGGAAGGCACGGATGCCGCTACTCCTCGGACCTCTCCCGAGGCGCGTTCTGACCAGAATTTCGAGGCGAATCCAGCGGTGGCGACGAGGGCCTCCCTGGAGGCCTAAAAAGGCGCAAACGAGGGAAGGGTAGCAATACAGTCGACACTGATAGTAAGGATGAACGGCTTTCCAAGATTGCCTTTTCATCTTCGGCCCATCCTTGGCCACTTTCGCTGGCCTCGCCCCGCTCGAAAAGTGTCGGTAGGGCCCTCCAAGGCCCTGGCATACTTCTCGCGTGTCCTTACGATCAGTTTGACTGTGTGGGTTTCCTCCTCCGAATCGGCTTTTGTTGTCGGCAGCACAGCGCGGAGAAGAGAAGAGATCACCCAGCAGGGCGTGGGACAAGACTGACTGGCCAGTCCAAGACGCACAAGCGGCACTTAGGCATGCATATTGACCTTTTTCTCCTCTGGATCAGCTGGGCGTCGCATAATGGGGGGGCGAGACATGGAGAAAGCTGCACTTCTGGGGACCCCTTTCGAGCCCTAAAGGGCCCAATGAGGGGCCCGAAAGGGCTACTTTCTGCAGCCCTCGCTGCCACCCCCTTTATAGCCCAACCCCATCACGCGAGGTCCAAGATCTGCGCTTCCCCCTCCACCTCCAAATGAGCCTCCTCCTCCTCCTCCTCCTCCTCCTCCTCCTCCGGCGTAGAGTCCGCACCTACTCCTGCTCCTCCTCCTGCTC